TTCTTGATTGATTATCAAAAGGATAGTATATACATTTGCACAGGTTATTTATCATGTTCTATTTATAATATTAGCATAATACCAACATTAAATTACACATACAAAACACAAAGTTCATGAGAACAAGAACAAAAAAGAAAAAAAAAGAATCATGAATTATCTGTTACAAGATTTATTACTTTCACCTTCTGCCAAAATGTATCATTTTAAAAATTCAACTAAATAAGTCATAACATGTTTATCAATAACAACAATTGAAGATGATATTCTTTCAAGTTTTGTCTAAATTTAAAATCTGTTCAATTTCAGGTAAAAAATAAAGTTTGTAAAACTGATATTTCAATATTTGAAATCATAAGTCAATTGAAGCTAAACCACCATGGAAAATCTGGAAGAACTGGACGGCCGTTTCGTCCTACTAAGGAACTCCTCAGCAGTGCGCATCAACGATCCCGCCCCCCCTTCCGCGAGATTCGATTCCATGGTGGTCAAGCTTCAATTGACTCATGATTTCAACTATTAAAGTTACTAAGAAAAAAATCTCCACAAAACCTCTTCTAATAATAATCATCTGCTCACTAGTGACTGGCTTCAACAGGTATATACTGCAGTTCTGGTGAGAAGTAGTGACCAGTGGAGGTCAACCAGGTCTGTTGTGAGATATCAGCTCGCTGAAAACAATGGTGACGGTGGAGCAACTTCGTGGATTAGTTGAAGTTAGACATTAACACCGTTGGGTGCCGGCTCAGTGGTCTAGTTGGTTAAGCGCCTGGCGCGAGACTGATAGGTCCTGGGTTCGAGTCTCTCGGGGGGGGGGCGATCGTGGATGTGCACAGCTGAGAAGTCCCATACTAGGACGGAACAGTCGTCCAGTGCTTTCAGGCTTTCCATAGTGGTCTAGCTTCAATTGACTCATGATATCAACTGTTAAAATTACTAAGAAAAAAATCTCCACAAAACCCCTTCTGACGAGACTGATATTTCACTAAGAAAAAAATTTTTTTTTAAATTTTATTATGATCGTTCAGTTCATTTTTACAAATTAGTTACTGTGGTAAATGTTCTAATTATTCAATCATAGATCAGTTCACTTAGAGTATATCTTAGAAATTACCATTCAATGTTTAAAAATAAATGGAATAGTTGTTGAAATCTTTATTGTCTATTCAGAAGAATTGATTTTGTGATGTGTCTTGATTATACAATTTAGATTCATTAATCAGATATATCTATAAATGAATAAGATAGTAAAGAATTCACCATTGAGTTCATTACTACTTAATTAACGTCAAATTTTGAAAACAACTGTCTATAATCGACTACTGATCAATTTATATTGATCATACACTTATCATATGGGATATGAAGTTCAATATGCAATAAATTTTCAAGTCTTCTGATAATTACCATCATCACTTATCTTAACAGTGGGATAAGAACTGAAATCAAAAGTACTTTCTAAGGATATTTTATTTAAGAAAGGAAATAATGAAACATAACAAAGATTTATATGTAAGGACAACAGATAAACATCCAGAATTGTGTCCCAAAAACAAGAAAATCAAATCTCATTCATTTTCTATGCCTAGGCTAGTATGAAGTTTCCTCATCAGATTTCTAAAGGCATAAACCAACCTTTCGCGCGCGAGACTGAAGGCCCTGGGTTCGAATCTCTCAGGGGGCGAGGTCGTGGATGCGCACTGCTGAGGAGTCCCATACTAGGACGAAACGGCTGTCCAGTGCTTCCAGGTTTCCAACGCTGGTCTAACATCAATCGGTTCATGATCTCAATCAAAAACTTAATAATCTCCACAACCCCAATAATGCTATCTTCATATAAGCCAGTTACTCTTCACGATCTATTAAAAAATACATACAAAACAGAAAGTCTTCCTGAACCAAATTCATATTTCTGAAGAAAAAAATAACTGTTTGTGAATCGCTAATTCTAACAGAGATATTACTGGCAATAAACCTTCTCAAGAAGTTAATCAGAAAGATATCTCATACCATAAATCATAGTACAGACTACTATATCTATTCATGTATGTGCCTAAATTTCATAAAAGATAGTTTGATGTTGGTTCAGCTTTGATAAACAATTAACTCGTCATGTTCCTTAACATTTATTTTTCTTAAATATCTTATTCATCTTTAAATCTTGAACATTTTTTTTTCACATGCTTTACTGACCCGTTTTCATTAGGTGACATGGTACTACCAGTTGCTGTGTAGAGAAAAAATAATCTTATCATGGTATATAATTAGCTTCAATAAATGTCATGTTACTTGTCAGAAATACTGTGGTAATGTGTAAAAGTAATTGATTGCTGTTTAGTGAAACCGAAGAATGTTATTAAGTCCAATAAAACAATCTTTTGACGGTCTAATTTGAAATATTCATTAAAAAAAATATCCAATGCCTAACTTATCTCTGAGTTTGATAGATCATAGACTTCGAAGATCTTTACATCATCGATTCATTTACGAATTTGTGTCATAACGAAATGCATTATCAGTTAACCGATATCTCAGCTACTATGTTATGACAATGATTTCTATATGAGATACTACATTTACAATTGATTGATCATTGGGTGGTGACCAATGTCATGCGTGTTTAGTCCTTATTATTAGTGCAGATCGAATTCTATCGACCATGTTGCAATGTGGCCACCAGTCTAGGTGACTCGACACTGCGGGCACTATTGTGAGATTAGATGGTGATTGGAGGTAGTGGACAGGAAACCCTGGACCCGGGTTTCGTGCTACTTGGCACTCGTCAGCAAGGTGTAACTGTAATCATTGAGGGAACTGGTGCTCCCTGGCGGATTCGATCCCATGTCACCCAGCTTAACAGTTAAAGACGTTACCACTGAGATATCCGGGCCGCGATCGACCTCCTGTAGGACAGAGATGTAATCACATTTGATAGCTCAGTGGTAAGGTTTCTGACTGTGAAGCTGGGTGACATGTGATCGAATCCGCCAGGGAGCACCAGTTCCCTCAATGATTACAGGTACACTTTGCTGACGAGTGCCAAGTAGCACGAAACCCGGGTCCAGAGATACTACATTGCTATATCTATTAGTAATTATGATCGTTTAAAACTATTAATTTATCAGCTTGTTAAAATTATTGAAATTTCGAAATCTTGAAAATTACACAAAAGGCTGAATGAATTATAATATCGCAAATTAACAGTGGCAATGCCTAGGTTTGAGAGATGTTTCCAGCATATTTCAACATATTACCGCTAATATCTTGAGTAGGCCACTTAAAAACACTTTCACATTGCCCTAAGAAAAAACACAAACTTGAAATGTTTATGGGTAATTGGAAACTCAACACCCACAAGTGCATCAGTTCAGTAATAACTTATTCATGTAATTTTAGTGATTGACTATTAGGATTGAAACAAAGCTTATGCGAATGATTTTTATGTTTATACAGAATGAGTGTATCTTCAGAACATGTCGGATAAGACATTGCCTCACTGATGCTGGACGGTAATTTTGTTCTTTCCAGATTTGCAGAGAATATATCAAGGCGAACAGATCACAGAAGGTTATCCATTGCTACATCCCATGCTTAACTGTATAATTCTTTATTGGCCTGAAACTAAACGCTTATGGTGCATGGTCTTTTAGTTGTACCTTCGGCATATATATACCTTCTGAATAATGGCCAATCAGGTTGACAGTTTATTCCAGAGTGATGTTGATAAGCGATAGTGATAATTCATAAGAAACTATAAGCTTATTTGTTACTTTTAATCAGTCTATTTCCTTCTACAAGCTCTAAAGCCCCCTTTAAATTGTACACAAACAATTGTTTGTGTTCATTGACGACAACTTATTTCTTAAGAATTCCAAGTGTGTTATTGTTTAAACCAATTAAACTTAATAGCTTGTATTTAGTTGAGGATCAAGTATAGAAATAAAATGAATTCATTGTAATCTTTAAATATTGTCATTTTTGCTTTTGTCTAAATTTTTGAACGGAACCAAATTGATTAAGAAAACATTGAAATAAATCTTCACTTATTCAATGAAATTTGGTTTTGTCTACTTTTCAAACAAGGTTATATGTGTTAACACAAGTGTACTCATTATTTAAAATTTATTATTCTTAGGGACAAAATTTTATCTTTTGTAAACTATCATGACTCCACTTATTATTCGTTTAATTAGCCAATTCCAATTTGATAAGATTAGTTTTTTCTTCAAAATATAGAGAACTGTTTAAAAGTCAGTATATTTCACTTCTCTCTGAACTCCTTGACTAATGACTATAAGAACCGCTCTATCTATTTTAATATTCAGTGTGTTAGTGATATTTTCGATTTCAATGGTTAAGATCATGAGTCAGTTGAAGCTAGACCACCATGAAAAACCTGGAAGCACTGGACGGCCGTTTCGTCCTATTGTGAGACTCCTCAACAGTGAGCACCCACGATCTCGCCAACTGCGAGATTCGAACACAGGACCTACCACTAGACCACTGAGCCGGCCGGCATCCAACGGTGCTCATGTCTAACTTCAACTAATCCACGAAATTGAGCGACACATCCACCATTGTCTTCAGTGAGCTGATATCTCACAACAGACCTGGTTGAATTCCACTGGTCACTACTTCTCACTAAAACTGCAGGATATACGTGTTGAAGCCAGTCACTAGTGAGCATATATTGATTATTATCAGAAGGGGTTTTGTGGAGATTGTAGTAATTTCAATGGTTAAGATTGACCAAATCTGAACTATTCAACTTCCTTTCTAAAGTTGATTCCTTGATAACTAACTAAAAATGAAACCTACAACCAAATTTTCTAGTTGTCAACACAATTATTTATATACTGACACAACGAATGAAATCTATGTACAATAATATACCTACACTGACCAACTAATAATTAACCAATCATAAACCTTCTTATTTACATGAGTTATTCTATAGTTTAAAAACAAAAAATTTTTTTTTATTTTTCAGATAACCAATAATTTTTAAAGAACTTCTTATTGGTGTTGAATTCAGTCAATTAAATAAATTAACACAAGTCTACAATTTCATTCAAATATAACTATATTACTTTCTCTCTCGATTATCATTTAAATACAACCGTTTCTCATAATTATCTTTAACAATTAATAATTATTCACAAAATATTATGGATAGTCCAACCACAAAACAACCATATGCAGTTAGACAAAGAGATTGGCATGATGGACTATTTGATTGTACAAATGACTGTAATTCATGTAAGTTCTTTTTCTATTGTTTGCTCTTTTCTTTCTTTCTTTTTTTTGAGAAAAAAAAGTTGGTTTTACAATTAAAATGTGAATTATTATCAGAAGGGATTGTGTGGAGATTTTAGAAATTTCACTGGTTGAAATCATGAATCCATTGAAGCTAGACCACCATGAGAAGCCGTTACCAGTGGAGTTCAACCAGGTCTGTTGTGAGATATCAGCTCACTGAAAACAATGGTGTACGGTGGCGCAACTTCGTGGATTGGTTGAAGTTAGACATTAACACCGTTGAATGCCGGCTCAGTGGTCTAGTTGGTTAAGCGCCTGGCGCGAGACTGATAGGTCCTGGGTTCAAACCTCGCGAGGAGCGGGATCGTGGATGCGCACTGCCGAGGAGTCCCATACTAGGACGAAACGGCCGTCCAGTACTTCCAGGTTTTCCATGGTGGTCTAGCTTCAATGGATTCATGATTTCAACCAGTAAAATGTGAATTATTATTCATTAAGATATTCTATAACTTTCAATTAATTCATAAAAGAAGAACATTTTCTTATTACTGGCGGTACATTTGAAGTTTATCGATTTGGAGTAAATTTTTCTTTTGTTTTTTAATAGTTGACTATCATATTCATACAAGATAAATTAGTGTTAGTTTCAGTTAAATTCAATGTCAAACTTAATAGATTATTATAACTAAACTACAAAGTGGGTCTTGAGTGCTGACGAAATCTCAGCACGGATTCGAAAAGCTCGTCTGGCCTTTGCCAACTTACGTCATCTATGGCGAAGGCGAGATATCCGTCTATCAATTAAGGAATGAGTATACTGCGCGGCAGTTCGTTCCGTTCTACTATACGGCTGTGAAACATGGCCATTAAGAGTTGGACATACTCGTAAGTTACTAGTATTTGACCACAGATGCCTTAGAAATATTACTCGCATCTGCTGGGATCACCGGATAAGTAATAGTGAGGTTAGACATAGGGTATTTGGGAATGATGGCAAATCAGTTGATGAGGTTATAAATCTTCATCGACTGAGATGGTTGGGCCACGTGTTGCGTATGCCTGAACACCGATTACCACGACGCGCAATGCTCACTGGTGTTAGGGATAAGAAGAAGAAAGTTAGGGGCGACAAAACCAAAACGTGGCATCAATGCTTGAAGTCACCAACTTCTAGTCTGAGCCATGTGGGTAGATGCAGACTACTTGGTTGGGGTCCGCGTGACTATCGTAACCAATGGTTGGAGACTCTTGGTGACATGGCTTAGAATCGGTCACAATGTTGTCGATGTATACACTCTCTGTCTTCCTTTAAACTACGAGATTAAAATTACTACATATCTTTCTTTCTGCAATCTAATTATTTATTCCTGTACTATCTCCTTGTATGCAATCTTTCTTTTATATATTACCACCACTGAATTAACTACTTTTATGAATCCGGTGTTCATCTTGTTGTGCTAATGAGGTATGGTAACTTGGACCGACGCATATATGTGCCTGATCCTACGTTGCAGCTGACTGACTGACTGAAACTACAAAGTAATATCAATGATTAATAGAGAGCTATCTCAGCATATACTTTAATAATGATTCTATGTAATCTATTTCTTAGTTAAACACATAACCATCACAAATTCTTGTGTTAGCTTTTTATCACAGATATTTATAACCTCAGATAATACGTCTTATAATGTAACGGATGTGTTATGTCGAAAAAACAGTAGTATTACATTATAACTATACAAAATGAATCTGTCATTCTTTGAATCTGTCTTGAGTCATTTCAATCAAACCTTTGGGTAAAAAAAATAATTGCGAAACAAAATAACCTTTTGTACAGTTTATTTTTGCACTCGATCTTGACATGTTTTCTTAATTTAGACGTTTTTTTTATATAAAAATTTTTAGTTTGGCTTGTACTTTGCTGTTATCCCTGTTACATGTGTTACATGTATCGTCGATATGATGAATGTTGCGCAACCCCATGTTTTATTATATGCCCTGGTTTGACGTTAAGAGCATACCATCGGGCTAAACATAATATACAAGTAAGTTTAGTTAAAATTTTCTTAAATCTATTGTCAAATTTTGTTCATTCTTAAAATGCGATCAATTACGGCATTGATATGAACTTTATTGATAGCATACAATGAAGGTGAGGCGGCCTGCTTGAATATCTAGGCTACCTGTTCCTGCCATCTGGATATTTCAACAAGTTATCTGTTTTCTTGTTTGTTTTAACACATCATTATGCCTATTAGTCTCATAACTAATTCAGGTGCGTTTGTGAAAAGTTTACAACATTTCGCTGTACAAGTTACAAAAGAGCTCAATCAGAGACATTATGGTTACTGGCAATATGCATCGAAAAGGATATACATTTATCAGATGTCGATTCTTGAACCGCTAACATCTAACTGGCGACCACTCAATATTTATCGCAAGGAACTGACTGATCAAGAAATAAGAAAGGGAAACTTGTTGAAATACTTTGTGCTGAGAATTCTATATTGTACCAAAAATATAATACTGAATAAAGCCAATAATAATAATAATAATAATAATAATAACAATAATAAAGTGATGTTTACTCGAAAGATCGTCTTGATATAGTTTTATGATTTTCAGCTTAGAATTATCTAGAAAGATACTAGTAATAGTAATAAGAGATCTTTATGGTATTTTCTTAAAACACTATAATTATGTTAATGATATTATAATAATATGAATCATATTAAATAGGGTAGCACATTTGTTGTTATGCTATAAGTCAGTTTACAAATAATGATCTAAAATATATGATTGTATAGAAATCAGGTTTCATGAACGTACTAGTTTTAAAAACCACCCCTTTAAACCAATAGGTAAGGTGATTGGATTTGATTTATGATTTCCCTTAAATTCATAATTGATGATATTTATATGAATTATTTGTCTTCATTTGAGGTTTCATTGTGTGTGTGTGTGCGTATGTGTTTATTCAGTTGAAATCTCTTGGAAAAAGTAATGCTTAAGTCATTAGTTTCTGCACTCATACGTTATGTTAGCCAAATATGATTAGATCATTATCTGAATGTATAATTCTAATGTATAGAACGATTGAATGGTTCTTTACATGACACTAACTTGAAGCACACTTCATGTAATTTATTAGATAAGATGATCTTGTATAGTAGACTAAAACCAATTTAGATTATATTTATCAGTGTAGTGGTTAGTTTGTCTAGTATAATAATGAAATATCGTTTCTTATAGTTATTTATGTGCAAACAAACACCTAAGATATAAATAGGTTCAACGGAACGGTACTTTCCTACAGTTTTCTAAAATATTTTCTAGATATGGGTGTATTGTTGTATTTAGATATCCACAATACAAAGGAAATAATAATTATCATAAAGCTTAAGTTTTCATATAAACAAGCATCAAAATTGGAATGCGGAATAAAGCACTTTACTGACGTAACTCACATTAAACCATTATGAGTATTTTCATAGCACTAACTATCAATGTGTTTGAACGCCTTATTTATGAAGCAGGTTATTTCACAATGACGTATTGGAACAAAATCAACTAGTACTTCATACAATAATTCCATGGAAACACAGTCAAAGATAGTTCTAAATGACATGAAAGAAACTCTTGTATGTTATTTACACTTTCTAAAGGCTTATTCACAATACCGGTAGAAGATTACACATTTTTAAAAGTGCTTTGATCTAAATATACATCTTATCAAGTGAACTGTACAGCTATCAGATCCTGAAGGAGTTGTTAGGTAATCCAGAACGTGAGAAATCAGCTATTCATAGAAATTCGTGCCCAAAAGTGATTATTGATATTAACCTGAGATTTGTCCAACATATGACACGTAAGTACGCTGAAAGTGTAGAAATATATACATTTAAGTTGGTAATCATCACTATCATTTTGATTGATTTTCAGACACAACCATAAATCGGTATTGTTTTAAGAACCAATGGAGTATTTTAAAGTAATCCCAGTTCCACTCATTTGTAAGCTCAGAAAACTGAATCTTCTCATATTCACAATAAAAATGGGAACTAGGTGGGCCCCAATAACACTAGTCGGTGGCATTAGATGAAATGAATCTTCGTGAATTCTTCAACAAAATCTCTGGGAGAACTGGGATCTATGCCAAAATTCCCCATTTTTCTTTCTGAGTTAACCCTAAAATATATGTCCATTTTATTTGATTAAATCAAACTTTTGTACATAAGGTTTCAGATTGAAAATATGACTTTTTAAACTATTGTATTAATCAGTCATTCGGTAGTAGCAAACATTATATTGTCTTGACCTCAGTGCTAAACGAAATCTTCTAATAGAGTCCTTGGTATTTTTGAAAATAAGTTATCCATTTTATAAACATAATTGCAAAGGGTTAACTATCTATTCTCTTTATTTTATATATAGACGAGATAGAAATAAATTCCTAATTAAGTAGCTTCATATATTTTTAGACGTGAACCATACCCATGTATTTGAAAACTGGAGGATATACCTTTTGAAGCCAGTCACTAGTGAGCATATGTTGATTATTATCAGAAGGGGTTTTGTGGAGATTGTAGTAATTCCAATGGTTAAGATCATGAGTCCGTTGAAGCTAGACCACCATGGAATCGAATCTCGCGCGGGGGGGGGCGGGATCGTTGATGCGCACTGCTGAGGAGTCCCATAATAGGACGAAACAGCCGTCCAGTTCTTCCAGATTTTCTATGGTGGTCTAGCTTCAACTGACTCATGATATTAATCATTGAAACTGATATTTATTAAGAAAGTGTGTTGACGACATTACTCTCTCTGTTGTTAAGTTATTTAAATCTTCCACTTGTTGTCATTGTAGTAAAACTATCTAGTATCCATTAGTGAAATCAGTAAACAAATAAGCGAAATACTAAGGTAATCTAGATTCAGTGCTACACTTTGTAAAGAATGAACTTTCGAATGATAAAATCTTTTCAATTGGAGTAAAACAGTTTAATTAACTCAATCTAAACAACCAAAAATAAGAAATTTTCGATTTACTCTTGTGAAAAAAAAAGACAATTATTTCCGGTATTGTTTTAAAGAAAAAAAAATTTCTCATCCTATCACATTTCATCACTTTTATTTTTTTTTTAATTATTAGGGTACTTTGTGCAAAGATTTCCTGAAAGAATACTTTTGTCCATTGTGTTCAGCATGTCAGTTAGATCGTGATATGAAATATGTGGAAGCGACTAGTGGGATATTAAATGTTTAAAGAGAAACAGACAGTTTCATTGTTCAGTTTGTTTGTTTGTTTGTTTGTTTGTTTTCTCCTACTACTTTAATGTTTTGATAAATATTTATTCATCACTTTAAAGTCACGATATTTTTATCCTCTTGTTGTAAAAGGGATAGTTCATTCATTGTACTGGGTTTTTTTTGTTTTGTTTTGAAATACTCACAATGATGCATTTGTATGATAAATATAAATACATATTTTTAAACTGATCAACCGATTTGAACTTAATTTGACTCATATTTACATAGATTGATGAGCAGTAAGTTCAAAGTTCAAAGTGTCTACTACGAAATATTCAAAAATATTAAAGCTAGAAGGAAAATATTGTCATTTATATTTTACAAGTTCCTTAGTTAATACTGCCTGATACCATTAGCAACAGCGTTCTGTGGGAGAGAACCAACCGGCTTCCAGCTGAAGAGGAAATTAGGAAAAGACGATGGAAATTGATAGGATATACATTGAGGAAATCATCAAGCTGTCTCACGAGGCAAGCGCTAACTTGGAATCCTGAAGGGAAAGGGAAAAAAGGAAGGCCAAAGAACACACTACGTCGGGAAATAGAATCAGATATGAAAAGGATGAATAAGAACTGGAAAGAGCTGAAAAGGATTGTCCAGGACAGGGTTGAATGGAGAATGCTGGTGAGCGGCCTATGCTCGTTCACGAGGAGTAACAGGCGTAAGTAAGTTAGTTGATACTGACTAACTGTGATCACCTCCATGAAATATTTAAATTATCTAATATCTTGATGTACATCTACGTTAATAAGAAGCTCTATTAGAGAACGTTTATAGCGATGATCAACTGATTTAATTTGATTCGCTCATCGAAGCAGTAAACAATTACTGAATGAATACAGAAGATATAATATTTAATTAATTGAAAATGTAGATTCATTTTCTTCCAATCAGGTGTTGCATTCATAAATAGATGTACAAAAACTATGATTGGAATTAGGTCAGAGATTAATCTTATACTATTTGTAGTTAAACAATCTTAAATAAAACCGAAGAAAAGTATATTCTGTCATGATTGAATGGTAAATCGGATTTCCTTGCAAAAAAGTATTGTGTGATCTTTGTAAAACTATAAGTTCTTGTTTGAATATTATTTATTTTATTCAACTACTAGATCAGCTAGACAAGCACAGTGAATACTGGAGCTTAGAATACTGGAAAGTAATCAACGTTTATCAAATATACACCATCAAGGAAAATTATAACATGAATCATTTAACTATTATAATGCCACTTTTATACAATAGAATACAAAATCAAAACGTTACAACATTCGACGGCACAACAATGATAAACAGCAATGAATGTTTTTTTCACGTCCTTAAGTTTTATAAGAATAAGTATAATAGCAAATGTTTATAATTTATACCGCATTACTCCACTATGTCACACAATAGTCTCGGCCAATCACCATAAAGTTATGGCTACTGAAAGAACAACGGAACAGAGTACGAGCAGACCTCTGAAGTTATCAATAGTATTAATATGACAACAGCACTGATATCACCCACTCACTTGATGTATACGGGTCATGTATGAGATTTGTGTTTTTCTGAAGATCTCATTTTTGTAAATCCAATGACGTACATCCGAATCTACTTAACGTAACGATGATGAAAATGTTATGAAAAACATGATCATCTGGCCTACTACTCATCAGTTACTTAACATTTAAAATATACCATCTGTAGTATTCAGGAATCTAGTTTATTTATATTTCTTCAAGAAAAGAAAGTTAACTGATTATTCATATAAACGTAAAAATGTTGTTGAACCAATAATGACTGAAAAATTAAACAGTTTTGTAAAAAGTAATTAGGTTTATGGAATTGGCATAGTCTCCGAAAAAAAACATTTTAAGTCATTCTGATATATTCTCAAGTAAAAAGCTTCAATAGATTTATAATTTGTCATCGTTATTTCGGTTGATGTTGTTTGGTTACTGTTGACTCGGCTTCAATCATAATCTCATTCTACATTCATAATAATATGTATGAATCGTTAATTGAAATACTGTTTAATCTAAGAAATTGTGTTAAGTGAATAGGTTGGTACTTTATTTTCACAATGGACAAAATTATATTCCGTTTCTCGTTATAGAAATGAAGTAGTTGGAAAAAATGTTCCATTAATTTATTGAAAATCTCTAATATTTTTCGTCATACAAAACTAATGAAATTGCAATTTGAAAATAAAAAAAGGAATGATCTGAAACATCCGATCGAAATCAAAATCATACAACAACAGTATGAAACCACCTTTAGGTTTTCTAATAAAAAAAAGAAGAAAATCACAGAGCTGAATGAAACACTATTTTGAAATATTCTGGTGACACTTTATTCAATCTTCTAGTTAACTACCATTTGAAAATGTACTGAGTGTAACGAATCGTCTTTTCATGAGACTCTAACTGTCGGACAGTTCAATCTATTCATTCTACTTGAGTCAAATTCTGACCTTGTTAATTATTCTCTTATCAATCGTGACTGTTTTTAAATGAGCGCGTAGGTGTGTGTACACTTCTTATCCCATTACTCAACACATGTCTGTAACCTATTTTTGTGTAACTATAAATATTGATTAACGCTTAATTAAATGGGATTTGGCTTACCAGCCATCTCCACCGCGCGTCAGTTTTGCTTCGCTTTCTTCTCTTCACTTCGTTTCCCTGTTCGTTTGTTTGATCAACGATTATACAAAGTATATGTATCCAAAAGACCATTCTCGTTATTTGACTTACCTAATTCCGTTATTGACTAACGCGATTTAAGTCAATGATTATATACGAGGATAGATGATAGCAATAATTTATACGATCTATTTGGAGTCAAATCTCAGGCCACAAAAATCACAAATTAGGTCTGTTAGATTTTCTTAATAATACTAAGGAATAGAAAGCTATCGAATTCCTTCCAATAAACAATATTCTACAAAGAATTTCCCACTTAAATTCTAAATGATCGAACATGAAAACTCTTTAAACAACTTAATCATTGAATTTTTTAGTTTAATAACCTTGTAGGCAGTATGTCGCGATGGAAGATTCATAGAATCATTTGAACTGATTGATTGATGGTGTCAAAGACATTTCTTATATTGATAACAACCTTTCCTAATATTCATAGAAAATAAGTAATCAGCCTATTCAAAGAATTGCTGATAAAAGGATTATTTTCACAGATTTACATTTTGTAAAAGTTCGACATCTGAGTCAGTAATATTTACCCTAACTGTGTCAAACAAAATAATTTAGTTATCGTTATGTTACCATATGTAAACAAACTATTTTACACTTATTCACTGAAGTGATTTTCATGGCGCCGGGGGGGTATTTCATAGATTTTGAAACGACATTAGTTAGAGAATCAATAAGGATCGTGGAGTTCTGTATAGCTGATTCATTTTATTTTGTGACTTATAAAAATTGCATAATCGTGACTTCCACAGCCTTGGTTTTCGATAGTGCTTCAATTAAAGTTATTTTGATGATGAATATTATGTATGTAATTATTTTGGCGGTTTTTCAGTTATTCCATGCCTAATGTGAAGGCTTGAAGAGCTTTAGTGAACATTTATTAGTGTCATATTTCAAAATTATCAGGAGTTTTTAGTTATATTATAACATATTAATATTCGACAATCCTAACTATTATCAGAAGGGATTGTGTGGAGATTTTAGAAATTTCACTGGTTGAAATGATGAATCCATTGAAGCTAGACCACCATGGAAAACCCGGGAACACTGGATGGTCGTTTCGTCCTAGTGTGGGACTCCTCAACATTGCGCATCCACGATCCCGCTCCTCGCGAGGTTCGAACCCAGGACCTATCAGTCTCGCGCCAGGTGCTTAACCAACAAGACCACTGAGCCGGTGTTAATGTCTAACTAACTAGGACGAAACGGCCGTCCAGTGCTTCCAGGTTTTCCATGGTGGTCTAGCTTCAATAGATTCATCATTTCAACCAGTGAAAAATCCTATCTCAAAAAAGTAATCTTGTCATTTGTGTGATAATGTTATGATGTATGTGTATATATCTGACAAAAACTGCATGTACGTTCTTGTTATTTTGTGGAAAATAAAGTCTTTTGTCTAGTGATGATTAACAAAGACTTTAAAACAGAACTGACTATTGTCATGACTGATGTTATTTTCTATTCACTTAATAAAATTTTGGCACTGTCAAGACTAAATTATAACACATATTCCTCACATTCAATAAATCATAATGCATATAACCTTGAGCATAATTTATGAGCTATTTCTTCTCAGATGATGATATAAAACAATGAACAGTTGTCTTTTAGTGTTTTGATTCAGTGAGCTGACCTAACTAGTTAGTCACTCTCTATGTGACCACTATCCATACCTCAACACCTATATTCCACCCACTAAAGTCTTCTGTGTTATATTGTAAATACCGGTTTAAATACTCAACCTGAGAGTTTAATATTTATTGTTCATTAGACCGGTTGTTGTTTTGATATACAATTTAATTGTATCCATATAAAATATACTTTTGTGATATAAGAGGCCAAATTTTTTTAAGATGTTTCCAACTGTATAAGTATTTCACGTTACTCTAACTATAAATAAAATTATAGTGATAAGTAACACTATTATATACAATAGGTTATCTAAATTTTGTTTTACTAAACTCTGATCTTAGATAGAATCATGGCTGAAATTAAGATGGCAGAATTTTTTACTGATAATTCACCGAACATCAATTAGCGTTCTTAAACTTTTAGAAATAAATTTTTACTAGAAGGGGTTTTGTGGAGAATTGGTAATTTCAATAGTTGAAATTATGAATGCAATTGAAGCTAGACCACCATAGAAAACCTGGAAGCACTGGACGGCCGTTTCGTCCTAGTATGGGACTCCTCAGCAGTGCGCATCCACGATCTCGCCCCCCGCGGGATTAAAACCCAGGACCTATCAGCCTCGCGCCAGGCGCTTAAAAGGTTGTATTGTATTAAAAGTAGTTTTCATTGTTGACTGACAAAATTTGTAAAACCATTGATAAACAAAAAGAAATAAACAATTGCTTTGATTTAGTTTGAGTTTTTTTCAGAAGTGTGAACGTCAAATTACTTCAAAGGACGCTTGCAAGACCTGCAGGCCTTGCATTAAACATAATACACGAAGACCACTAAGTCGGTATTCAGTAGTTAGTGGATACCATTATGTGATTGTAATACAACGTTTGATAAAAGTAAAACAAAACAAGTTACATAATAATTTCTTTCTAGAAAGTTATCAGAATTACAGCCTCCTACAGTTATGTTGA